TTATTTTACAAAGTATAATGTTGTTTGGTATTTTTAAGTAATTTGACAATTTCTTTCTTAACTGATGCATTTAGATCATGTATATTAAAATAATTTTGATATATATGCATTTAAGTCAACTGGCTTTCCATGAAATAAAATGGCACTTCTTGTCTTCCAGCCCCTTACCTGTCTTGATTTTCGTATTAATTTCTATGGGTCTTGTAACTCCACAGCCTGAGACATGTTAGTTGTTTTCCATGTTTCATCCTTTTCTTATTCTTAATTTTCCTGTTTTTCTGCCTGATGGTGGATTTAGTATATTTATCATTCAGTTATATTTTCTTTTCTTTTTTTTAATTTGCATTTTAGGTTTTGGGGTACATGTGCAGAACATGCAAGATAGCTGCATAGGTACACACGTGGCAGTGTGATTATTTACTCTTGGCTTATTAGTTAGGTCACTTTAAAAAAAATAGTGGTTGCTCTAGGGTTAACAAAGTTCATATTTAATTCATCACACTCTGTCCTCAAAGAATATTATAGTAGTTTATGTACAGGTTAAACATCTTATGAGAGTATGCTTACACTTCACTACATTCTTTATCATATTGTTATTACTTTTATTAAAATTGTAATCCCCACACACATCTTTGTTTACACTACGAATTATTACTGACTGATCAATATGATAATAATAACATGTCCTCTGTGTGGACCCCAAAATTGGATACAGGTCTCAGGCAATTTAGAATACTTTTGCCAAGGCTGAGGATGCGCACCCCTTGCAAGGCCTCAGGGGGTACTGGTGACATGTGCCCAAGTTGGTCCGAGCACAGCTTGGTTTTTACATTTTGGGAGACATAAGACATGGAGCAACACATATAAGATGAACCCTTCTTCAGTCTGGTCTGGAAAGGAGGGACAACTCGAAGCAAAAGTGGAACATCTCACAGTAAATAGGAGGCTTCCAGGTCACAGGTAGATAACAAACAACTATATTCTTATGACTTACTGATTAACCCTTCCAAAGGAGGCAATCAGATATGCATTTATCTCAGTGAGCAGAGGAGTGATGATCAATAGATTGGGAGCCTGGATTACCCTAAGCAGTTCCCACCCTGAATTTCCCCTTAACTTAGTGATTTGGCGGCCGAGATATTTCCCTTTCACATCCACATCTGTATCTTCACCATTTTCCGGGTTTGTAATTCGTTTGTGTAGATTCACGTTTCTGCCTGTTATTTTTTCTGCCTGAGGAAATGTGTTAACATGTCTGGTAATGCATTTCTATTGGGGTGAATAATCAAAATGTTACTTGTCTGAAAAAATTATGTCATTTTGTGTTTATTAGAGTGATAATTGTAAGCCTACTGATAGAAATATTTCTCTCTCAAAAGTTATTTGTTTTCTGACATAACTATTTGTTACAGTTCCTATCTCAGTGCTGAAATTCCTTATTTTCTAATCCGTGATGTCTACTTTTTCCAATAGTGATATGGTTTGTTATCTGTGTTCCCACCCACATCTCATGTTGAATTGTAATCCCCAATGATGGAGGTGGCACCTGGTGGGATGTGATTTGGTCAAGGGGGTGGAATTCTCAGGAATGGTCTAGCACTATCCCTTTCGTGCTGTTCTCATGAAACGTGCTTGTTAAAAAGTGTGTAGCACCGCCCCCCCTCCACCGTCTCTCTTCTTCGTTTCTGGCCATGTGAGGGGGAAGCTCTTCCCTTGCCTCTTCTATGATTGAAAGTTTCCTGAGGCCTCCCAGCCATGCTTCCTGTACAGTCTACAGAACCATGAGTCAATTATAGATATCTAAAAATGTGAAAGCAGTTTTTGCATTGGGTAACAGGCAGAGGCTGAAACAGTATGGAGCGCTCAGAAGAAGACAGAAAAATAAAGGAAGAGTGAAGTTTCTTAAAGTCTTGTTTAATGGGTTGTCCCTAAGTGGCTGATAGTCATATGGACACTGAAGACTAGAATGAGGAGGTCTCAGATGGAAATTTGGAACTTATATGGAAGTGGAGTAAAGGTTACTTTTCTTATGGAATAGCTATAAACTGGTGGCATTTTGCCCCTGCCCTAGGGATTTGGGGAACTTTTGAGCTTGAGACTGGTGATGTAGGGTTTCGGGTAGAAGAAATTCCTAAGCACCATAGCATTCAACATGGGGCCTGGTTGCTTCTAACAGCCTATGCTCATGTGTTTTGGCAAAAAAATGATGGAAAACTGTCACTTGTATTTAAAAGGAAAGCAGAGTGTAAAGGTTTTGAAAATCTGCAGCCTGGCCATGTGGTAGAAAAGAACAACCTATTTTCTGGGGAGGAATTGAAGCTAGCTGCAAAAATCTGCTTAAGTAACAAGGAGCTGAATGTTAACAGCCAATACAATGGGGAGGCCTAAAAGGCATTTCAGAGACCTCTGCAGTAGCCCCTCCTCCTATCACAGGCTGAGAAGCCTAGGATGGGAGCATGCTTTCATGGGGACACCCAGGGCCCTACTGCCCTATATACTCCTCCTAATATCCTAGCTGCTGCATTGCCTGAATGAGCACAAAGTGTCTCCCAAAAAGCTTTCATTGCAGGTTTAGTTGGTGCAAATGATGACACTTGATGGCTTCCACTAGGTGTTAAGCCAGCGGGTGCACAGAGCAAGAGCTGAGACTTGGAATCCTTGGCCTAGATTTCAGAGGATATATGGAAAACCATGAATGTCCAGGCAGAAGCTCAATGTAGGGGGTGTAGTCCTTATGGAGAACCTTTACTAGGGCAATGCAGAGGAGAAATGTGGTTTTGGAGCCACCATACAGAGTCCACACTGGAGCACTGCCTAGTGGAGCTGTGAGAGGAGGACCAACATCCTCCAGCCCCTAGAATACTAGATCCACTGACAGCTTGTAATTGAGTCTGGAAAAGCATAGGTACATAAAGCTTTGAAAGGTATTTTAAAAGTCAATCAGAAAATGTATTTGTTTTTGAGAGAAAACAGACATGGTGGATCAGAAATGAAAGTACCTAAGAGGCAGGAGAGTCTGTTAGGAGCTGTAAAGAAGGAGCCTTGCAAATGATGACTAGTTGATAAGTGAGAAAATACAGAGAATCTGGGAATCTGGAGTGAAACCTTAGGTGATGAACAATGGCTGTGGCCTCCATGGAATGTCTTTCTTATTTGATTCAAGCCTCATTTGAAAAAAGTAGATAAATTCTTCAAGAACCTGAGTGGATGTGTTTTCTAAGGCGTCCACTGTTCCTATGTATAGTCTCCTAGAAGGCACAAAAAGTTCCTTGAAGTAGCCCCACACTGAAGAGAGGGTGCACAGGATCCAAAACAGGCATCGCTGTGCTTGCAGCTACAGGCCCATCCCCAGGGACACCACGTGCGCAGTACAGGCTGTACATTACTCTTCTCAAAAAGGTGATATCATAGTTTAGTACACATGAATACCACCTTCTTGAGAAAGGCACTGCACGCTGAATGGCTGAATGTGGCATCCCAGACCAAATGCTCCCCATTCGTGCAGTTTTATTGATGTCCTTATAGGAGTATTATTATGTGTTTGCCTGGCCACCAAGATTTATGTCAAGGAACTAGGGAAATTCCAGCCCCTAGTGCTCTCCTTTTCATCCTGCCTGGAGTGAGATTTTAACATGTAGATTTCTGTTTTGGGTTGTTTTAATCTCAGCTACTGAGAAGGCTGAGGCAGGAGAATCCCTTGAACCTGGAAGGCAGAGGTTTGGTCAGCAGAGATCCTGCCACTGTACTGCAGCCTGAATTACAAAGTGAGACTCTGTCTCAAAACAAAAACAGAAACAAAATTAAACAGAAAAAACCTTAAAAGTACTGGTTAAGTAGAAAGAACCAGCCACTCAGCAAATCCCCCTGTCATCCTAAAATTCCAGCTGTGCTGCAGAAACCTAAATTCCAATGAAAGAACCACAGAATACAATAATCTAGATGCAAATAAGTGAAGAGTCAGAGGATACCAGGTTGGAGAGAGCAGAAATTTCATTTGTTCTTCAGGCTATTCAGGGTGAAGAACCCACAGAAATTAATATGAGAGACCCACAAGACAGACGATGGGCTAGAAGACAAGAAATGCTATTTAATTTCTCTTAGCTCCATGCTTCTTTATAGTTCATTTATTTGGTGTTTCTCTCTGTCTCTCTCTCTCTCTCTTTTTTTTTCTCTCTCTCCCCCCCTCCCCCTCCCTCTCTCCCTCTCTCCCCCCACTTTGTGTATGTTAACAAGAATAGCTCTATGATTTTTTTTAACTTTAAGATTTAGTGTTTGCATTAATACATTTTCCATCCTTTTTTGCTTTTACCCAACTTTCATATAGGTCTTCATATTTAACATGGGTTTATTTTACAAAGTATATGGTTGTTTGTTATTATGATGGAATTTGACAATCTCTATGTTAATTGAAGCACTTAGACCATTTATATTAGCATAATGATTTATATACATGCATTTAAATCTACTGCATTTCAAGTTGTTTTCTGTGTTTCTTATTTTTCTTATTCCTAATTTTCCTGTTTTTCGGCCTTACAGTGGAGTTGGTGTTTATACGCTTCAGTTATATTTTCTCCACTCTTTGCTTATTAGGTAGGTCACTTTAAAAATGTAGTGGTTTCTCCAGGGTTTACAAAGTTCATATTTAATTCATCACAGTCTGTCTTCAAAGAATATTATACTAGTTTATGTACAGTTTAAAAATCTTATGATAGTACGCTTACAATTCACCCCATCCTTTGTCATATTGTTGTTAATTAATTTTATGAAAGTTCTAATCCACACATACATTGTTTACGCTATTAATTATTGACTAATACAGTAGTAATAAAATGTCCTCTGTGGGAACCCCCAAAACTTGAGACAGGTCTCACTTGATTTAGAAAGTTACTTTTGCCAATGGTGAGAATATGGAAGCATGACAACCTCAGGAGGTCCCAGTGACATGTGCCCAAGGTGCTCAGAGCACAGCTTGGTTTGGGTTTTTTTGGTGGTGGTGGTGGTGGTGGTGGTGGTGGTGGTAGAATCTTGTTCTGTGCACAGGCTGGAGTGCCAGGGGCATGATCTGAGCTCACTGCAACCTCTGGCTTCCAGATTCAAGTGATTCTGCCACCTCAGGTTCCCAAATAGCTGGGGTTATAGGCACGTACCTCCATGCCAGGCTAAGGTTTCTGTTTTTAGTAGAGATCGGGTATCACCATGTTGGCCAGGCTGGTCTCAAAATCCTGTCTTCAGGTGATCTGCCTGCATTGGCCTCCCAGGGTGCTGGAATTACAGGCATGAGCCACCGCTTCTGGCCAGCACAGCTTGGTTTAATACATTTTAGGCAGACAGGAGACATCAATCAACATATGTAAGATGAATATTTGTTCAGTCTGGACCGGAAAGGAGGGACAACTCAGAGCAAAAGTGGAACACCTCAGTGTGATGGGGAGGCTTTCATGTCATAGGTAGGTGACAGACAAAATGTCACATCCTTTTGAGTTACTGATTAAGCTTTGCAAAGGAGGCAGTCAGATAAGCATCTATCTCAGTGAGCAGAGGGCTGACTGTGAATGGAATGGGAGGCAGGTTTGCCCTGAGCACTTCCCAGCTTGACTTTTCCCTTTAACTTAGTGATTTTGGGGCTGTGATATTTCCCATTTACATCCAAATCTTCATCTTGATTATTTTCTGGGTTTTTATTTGTGTAGATTCACGTTTCTACCTGGTATGTTTTCTGCCTGAGGAAATGTGTTAACATGTCTTGAAATGCATTTCTACTGGGGTGAATAATCAAAATGTTCTTTATCTGAAAAAATTGTGTCATTTTTGTGGTTATTATAGAGATCATTGTGAGCCCATAAAAAAAAATGTCTCAAAATAATTTGTTTGCTTTTTCTAACATAACCATTTCTGTTTCTATCTGTGTGTGTGTGTGTGTGTGTGTGTGTGTGCACGTGCGCGTATATGCATTGCCCTCTATCTCTCCCCATGAGGTTAAGAAGTGTCACCACAAGCAAATGGGGAGAGAAGCCTAGCAGCTATCTCTTGAGTATCGATTCTATCATACCCTTCCATGCTTCAAATGTATTCTTAAAAAGTAGGGACAAAAAGATAATTAAAAAGAGGGAAATATTCTTGGGTGGACTATGCTTACCCCTTCATGAATTGGTGACATACAGCTTAGAAATGTATTTTAAAGGTTAACCAGAAAATCTTTTAGTACTTCAGAGAAAACAAACACTGTTGATGAGTAATGAAGGGATCTGAGAAGCAGGAGAGTCTGTTGGGAGCTCTAAAGGAGGAGCCTTGCAAATGATGACTAGTTGATAGGTAAGAAAAGTTTAGAGAAATTGGGAATCTGGAGTAAAACTTCTCAGCTGACGAACAATGGCAGTGGCCTCAACAAAATGTCTCTATTGCTCGAACCAAGACTCATTTGGCAAAAATAGATAAATTCTTGAAGAACCTGAGTGGATGTGTTTTCTCAGGAGTCCACTGTTCCCATGTATAGTCTCCTACAAGGCAGCAAAGTTCCTTGAAGTAGCCCCACACTGAAGAGAGGGTGCACAGGACCCAAAATAGGCATCACTGTGCTTGTAGCTACAGCCCCATCCCCAGGGACACCACGTGCGCAGTACATGCTGTACATTACTCTTCTCAAGAAGGCAGCATTCAGGTTTTAGTCCACATGAATGACACCTCCTTGTGAAGGGCACTGCACGCTGGATGGCTGAATGTGGCATCCCAGACCAAATGGTCCCCATTCATGCAGCTTTTATTCAAGTCCATATAGGTGTATGCCTTCGCATGGCCACCAAGACTTATGCCAAGAAACTTTGCAGCTTCTAGCCCCCAGCACTCACCTTTACATCCTACCCTCAGTGAGATGTGAACGTGCAGATTTTGGTTTTGTTTTGTTGTAATCCTGGCCACTCAGGAGGCTGATGCAGGAGACTCCCTTCCATCTAGGAGGCTGATGTTTCCGGGAGCATAGATTGTGCCACTGTTTTCCTGCCTGAATTTCAAACTGAGACCCTGTCTCAAAGAAACAAAAGTAAAAACAAAATCAAACAGAGAAAAAAATTTTTAATTGGTGGTTAAGTAGAGAGACCATCCACTCAGCAAAGCTTTCTGTTGTCCTAAATCTCCAGCTATTACGCACAGACCTAAATTCCAATGGAAAAATCACAGAATACAACAACCTGGATGCAAAGAGGTGGAGAAGAGTCAGAGGGTACCAGGTTGGAGAGAGCAGAAATTGCATTTGTTTCTCAGGCTATAGAGTTACGAGAACCCATAGAAATTAATACGAGAGAAAATCAAGACAGATAACGGGCTGGAAGACAAGAAATGCTATTTTATTTCTCTTACCTCTGTGATTCTTTATACTTCATTTATTTGGTTGGCTTCTCTCTCTCTCTCCCCCTCCCTCTCTCAGTTTGTATGTGTTATTAACAATAATAGCTCTAAGATTTTGTAGCTGTAAGGTTTACTGATTACATTAATATATTTTCCACCCTTTAACTTTTACCCAACTTTCACAAAGGTCTTCATTTTTAAAATGGGGTTGTTTTACAATGTATAATGTCGTTTCCTATTTTTATGTAATTTGACAATTTCTGTCTTAACTGACGCATTCAGATCAAGTATATTAGAATAATTTGATATACATGCATTTAAGTCAACTGGCTGTCTAGTTGTTTTCCATGTTTCATCCTTTTCTTATTCTTAATTTTCCTGTTTTTCTGCCTGATGGTGGATTTAGTATATTTATCATTCAGTTATATTTTCTCTACTCTTGGCTTATTAGTTAGGTCATTTTTTAAAAAATACTGCTTGCTCTAGGCTTTACAAAGTTCATAGGTAATTCATCATACTCTGTCCTCAAAGAATATTATAGTAGTTTATGTACAGATAAAAAATTTTATTATAGTATGCTTACAATTCACTACATTCTTTATCATATTATTACTTTTATTAAAGTTGTAATCTCCACACACATATTTGTTTACACTGTGAATTATTAGTGACTGATCAATAAAATTAAAAAAAAATGTCCTCTGTGTGGACCCCAAAAATTGGATACAGGTCTCAGGCAATTTAGAAAGTTATTTTAGCCAAGGGTGAGGATGCGCACCCATGACATGGCCTCAGGAGGTACTGGTGACATGTGCCCAAGGTGGTCCGAGCACAGCTTGGTTTTTATATTTTGGGAGACACCAGACATGGAGCAACATATGTAAGATCAACATTTCTTCAGTCTGTTCTGGAAAGTAGGGACAACTCAAAGCAAAAGTGGACCATCTCACAGTAAATAGGAGGCTTCCAGGTCACAGGTAGGTGACAAACAGACCATTGCATTTTTTGACTTACTGAATAACCCTTCCAAAGGAGGCAATCAGATACACATTTATCTCAGTGAGCAGAGGAATGATGATGAATAGATTGGGAGCCTGGTTTACCCTAAGCAGTTCCCAGCTTGAATTTTCTCTTAACTTAGTGATTTGGGGGCAGAGATATTTCCCGTTCACATCCATATCTATGTCTTCACCATTTTCTGGGTTTGTAATTCATTTGTGTAGATTCATGTTTCTGCCTGTTATTTTTTCTGCCTGAGAAAATGTGTTAACATGCTTGGTAATGCATTTCTACTGGGGTGAATAATTGAAACGTTATTTGTCTGAAAAAATTATCATGTCATTTTGTGTTTATTAGAGTGATAATTTTAAGCCCACTGAAAGAAATATTTCTCTCTTAAAATAGTTTTCTATTTTCTAACATAAACATTTGTTACAGTTTCTATCTCAGTGCTGAAATTCCTTATTTGCTCATCCGTGATGTCTACTTTTTCTAATAGTGATACGATTTGCATCTGTGTTCCCACCCACATCTCCTTTGAATTGTAATCCCCATTGTTGGAGGTGGAACCTGGTGGGAGGTGTTTAGATCATGGGAGTAGAATTCTCAGGAATGGTCTAGCACTATCCCTGTGGTGCTGTTCTAATTACCGTGAGTTCTATGAAAAGTGGTTGTTAAACAGTGTGTAGCACCTCCCTCATATCTTCATCCTATTCTGGCCATGTGAGGAGCTAGGTCCTCCCTCACCTCTTGAATATTTCAAAGTTAAATGAGGCCCTCCTTGCCATGCATCCTGTACAGCCTATATAACCGCAGCCATTTACAAATATCTAAAAATATGGAAGCTGCTTTTCCATGGATAGTAGGCAGAGGTTGAAAGAGTTTGGAGGGGTCATAGGAAGGCAGAAAGATGAAGGAAAAGTTGAAACTTCCTAAATACTTGTTTAATGGGTTGTCACTAGGTGGCTGATACTGATATGAACACTGAACACCAGGCTCAGGAGGTGTCAGATGGAAATGAGGAACTCACTGGGAAGTGGAGTAAAGGTCACCTTTGTTATACATTAGCAAAACTCTGGTGGCATTGTGGCTCTGCCCTAGGGATTTGGGAACTTTGAACTTGAGAGTGATGGTTTCGTGTTTCTAGTAGAAGAAATTCCTAAGCAGCACAGCATTCAAGATGGAGCCTGGTTGCTTCTAATAGCCCATGCTCATGTGTGTCAACAACAACAAAATGATGAAAACTGGCACTTATATTTAAAAGGAAAGCACTGTGTAAAGGTTTTGAAAATTTGCAGCCTGGCCACAGAAAACAAAATCCTGTTTTCTGGGGAGGAATTCAAGCCAGTTGCAGAAATCTGCTTAAGTAACGAGGAGCTGAATGTTAACATCCAAGACAATGGAGAAGTCTCAAAGGCATTTCAGAGACCTCTGCAGTAGCCCCTCCTTCCATCACAGGACATGAAGCCTAGGAGGGGAGAATGATTTCATGGGCGACACTCAGAGTCCCAGTGCCCTGTACAGTGTCTGGATACTGCTCCTCATACCCTGGCCAGTCCAGTGCCTCCAATACAGCTTCAGCTGCTGGTTCAGAAGCTACAAACCATGATCCTTGGTGGCTTCTACTTTGTGTTAAGCCCATGGGTATACAGAGAAAGAGTTGAGGCTTGGGAGCCTCAACCTAGATTTCTGAGGATGTATGGAGAAGCATGGATGTCCAAGCAGAATCCTGCTACAGGGGTGAAGTCCTAATGGAGAATGTTGACTAGGGCAGTGCAGAGGGGAAATATGGGTTTAGAGCACCAACACAGAGTCCACACTGGAGAACTTCCCAGTGGGGTTGTGAGAAGGCCACCATCCTCCAGACCCCAGAATAGGAGATCCACTGACAGCTTTTAATTGTGCCTGGAAAAGGCATAGGTACTCAGTGCCAGCCAACTGGGGACTGAACCCTGCAAAGTCACAGGGTTACAGCTGCCCAAGGCTTTGTGAGCCCACCACTTGCACCAGTGTGCCCTGGATGTGAAACATTGAATTGAAGGAGGTCATTTTGGAGCAATAAGATTCAATGACTTTCCTACTGGGTTTCAAACTTGCACAGGACCATTAGCCCCTTTATATTGGCTGATATATCCGGAGAATATACCCAATGCTTCTATCTCCATTGTATCTTAGAAGTAATTAACTTGTTTTTTATTTTATAGGCTGATAAGCAGAAGGGATTAGCCTTGTTCAGCTGAGACCTTGATTTGGGACTTTCGAGTTAATGCTTCAATAAGTTGCGACTTTGGGGGACTGCTGGGTTACATTTTGCAAAAGTGAGAAGGATGTGAGATTTGGAAGGGGCAAGGGCAGAATTAGAAGGTTTGGATCTGTGTCCCTACCCAAATCTCAGGTTGCATTGTAATCCTCAATGTTGGAGGTAGGGCCTGGTAAGTTATTGGATCATAGAGGTGGAATTCTGGTGGAATTAAATCCTGGGAAAAACCACTATTTAAAGTCATATATTTTAGTAAATATGAGAGAAAGTATAAAAGCCTTAGAAAACATTTAAAATATTTAAAATGCTATAAAAACAAGTTAAATATGAATCAGTAAAGAATTGTATGATAGAATGAAAGACGGCACTGAAAATTATGTTTCAGAATTATTTACTAGGCTACTCAATGTTTTTATAAAATATCCATAATGCATTATTATTTGAAATTGTTTATAGAAGAGTGGTACAAAATTTTTGACCCCAACCTGAAACCTAAGTAAGTAGAAACACAGATAAATGTGTAGAAAGATCTACATCTAAATCTTATGAAATACTGTGTCCACATTGTGATCTTACTGGTATTATGGTATTATTTAATTACTGCTATTCATATGTTTCATACATTTTATGTGTTTTCCAAGTTGTTCTATAATACATAGGAATTAGACTCTTGGTCAGAATAAAAGACATATCAACAACAATTTATTTTTGTTTGACAGAATTCTGATATTAGAATAACTTGGAAAAGTGTATAATTTGTTTTCAGCAGTTATTTTTCCTTCTTTGAGCTCCCTATATCTATATAGAGTCAGCCTGTTCAGTTAGAGTTTTTGCCTTTCCATGTTCCTGACCCCTAACCATAATAAATGTTGATTTGTTTTAAATTATGAGGATAAACTAGACATTCACATTAACTGTGTGACAAAATTATACTATAGCAAGGAAGGTCCAGAATGAATACGTAACCATTAAACTAGGTTTATCCATCTGCTAGGACCACAACGCAGATCAAAACAGACTCATAACACACTGACAGAACTGACATCTTATTAAAAAATAAAGATGACTTTAAAAAGTGACTAGTAAACATCTTAGTGTACACAGGAGTACTAAATTATATGTAGTTACTTGATATATGTTATTTATCACATTAAATTACATGGCTTTTTAGTATTCTGTAGTTTGCCTTTTTTTTCTGAGTGATCTTATTTGAAGGCACATTTTAATTTTTTCAAAGTCTATCTTATCAACTTATATTTAATCAATTTTATTTTATATTTTGATGCCATATATAATAATTTAATGGTCAAAAATTTGTTTTTGCATAAAATTTGATAGTTTGACATTTTGGCCTAAGGTTGTGTTAATTTCTGTATCTGGTTTGAAATATGGATCACCATTTATATTTTTCATATGAATTTCACATTTCCCAGCATCTTGTTTAAATACTATTACTTCATTAGATTGACTTACAGCTTAGTTAAAATGAATTGAGGACATGTATGGATATTTCTGTTCTTCTATTCTATTTGGTCCATCCTTTCTTCAGAAGCACAGTACATTGGCTAATCTAGTTACACAGTAAATATAGAAAATAGAAGGGTAAATTCTCCAACTTTGTGATTCTCTTTCAGATGGCTTTGCATTTTCTAGTTTATTTGCCTTTTATATCAGCTTTAGAATCATCATGCTAATATCTGCAAATATTTTTCTGAGACATTGGTTGGAATTGTATGATCTCTATAGATCAATAGAACTTTATAAATCTATAGATTTCAATCCTTAAATATATAAATATAATACTCCTCTCCACTTACTTAGTAGTCATTTGATTTTCTGAGTGTATTTACACTCTTAGCATACAGATGTTTTTATTTTCTAATGGTATTATAAGGTATTGCTTCAAATTTAGTTGTTTACAACAACACAAATTTACTGTATTAGAGTCTAAAGGTCATAAATGTAAATTAGGCTTATCTTGACTAAAATTAAGGCATTGGCAGGGCTTTGTTCTTTCCTGTGGATCTAGAGGAGAATCTACTTGATTGTGTATTTTAGATTCTCGTAGCTTTCTCCATTCTTCGGCTCATGGACTTTATCCCCACGTCTCGTCAACACTATTGCATTTTCCACTGCTTCTCTTATTCTAACCACCTTGCTCCTACTTATAAGTGCCCTTGTGATTACGTTGGGCTCACCTAGATAATCAGGTTAATCCAAATCTAAAAATACATAATTTAATCATACGTACTAGTTTCCTTGTATGATGAAATGCTGTATTTATGAGTTGAGGGGTTACTCTGTAAACACTGTTTGTGGTGGGGGTGGGGGTGGGGGTGGGGTTTTATTCTGCCTACCACAGAGATCTTGTAATTTTTCCATAGTTTCACCTAAATATTTTATGCTTAAATTATTTTACGTTTCTCTTAGCTTAATTTAGTCATAGTGTATAATATATACACACAAAACCTCGTGGTGTACACCTTAAATAGATACAATTTTTATATCATGTAAACCTTAATAAATGGAAAGAAAAGAGGCTAAATAATGCAGTATTTCACTAAAGGAAAAACCATAAACGCTGGTGAATATCCTACTCTTTTGGAGAAATCTTAAAAGGGATATGATAACAATTAAATTCTCTTATTTTTCATTTTAGGATACCACTTAAAGGTATGTCCATAAACATGCATTCACTACAATACAGTTTCAGAAATTATATACTAAAAAGAGTTATCACTTTGGAAAATTTTATGTATATACAGTATTTCCAACTGACAGACTTTTTTTGCTGTTCAGAATGCTGCCCTCCCCCCAGAAAACACAATATTTTATGTATTCTATTAGTACAGTTGTTTTCATCATGGGAAAGATATTTCAACTGATTGTTTTTTTACTTACAGACATTAATTGTCTTATACATATTCATACATTCTGAATCTAAAAAACAAAATGGACTAAAATCCTGCCTGCAACCAAACAGTAATTGTTTTTTATAGTTTCTCCCTTTTGGTGTATATGCTGTAGCTTCTATTTCAGCTGGAATTGAAATTGTATTAAAAACTTACTATTTATAGCTTTTTTGCACAATTCCACAATATCTCACTTAATTAGATTAAGAGTTAAGAAGTGTCTCCACAAGCAAATGGGAAGAGAAGTCTAGGAGATACCTCTTGAGTGTCAACTCTATCATACCTTTCCAATCTTAAAATACATTCTGTTAAAAAGGAGAAAAAACAGGTAATGAAAAAGAGTGAAATATTACTGGGTGGACTATGCTTAACCATTTATTAATTGGTGATGTACAACTTTGAACGGATTTTAAAAGTCAGTGAGAAAATCTTTTAGTCTTTGAGAGAAAATGGTCACTGAATCAGCAATGAGAGGCTGGAGAGTCTCTCGGGAGCTCTAAAGGAGGAGCCTTGCAAATGATGACTAGTTGATAATTGAGAAAAGTTTAGAGAATTTGGGAATCTGGAGTAAAACCTCTCAGCTGACAAAAATGGCTGTGGCCTCGATACAATGTCTTTCTCATTTAAGCGAAGCCTCATTTGGCAAAAATAGATAAATTCTTGAAGAACCTGAGTGGATGTGTTTTCTCAGGAGTCCACTGTTCCTATGTATAGTCTCCTAGAAGGCACAAAAAGTTCCTTGAAGTAGCCCCGCACTGAAGAGAGGGTGCACAGGATCCAAAACAGGCATCGCTGTGCTTGCTGCTATAGCCCCATCCCCAGGGACACCACCTGCGCAGTACATGCTGTACATTACTCTTCTCAAGAAGGTGACGTTCATGATTTAGTCCACATGAATGACACCTCCCTGCGAAGGGCACTGCACGCTGGATGGCTGAATGTGGCATCCCAGACCAAATGGTCCCCATTCATGCAGCTTTTATTCGAGTCCCTATAGGTGTATGCCTTTGCATGGCCACCAAAATGTATGCCAAGAAACTATGCAGCTTCTAGCCCCCAGCACTCACCTTTACATCCTGCCCTCGGTGAGATGTGAACATGCAGATTTTGGTTTGTTTTGTTTTGTTGTAATCCTGGCCACTCAGGAGGCTGATGCAGGAGACTCCCTTGACTCTGAGAGGCCGATGTTTCAGGGAGCAGAGATTGCACCACTGTATTCCAGCCTGAAATTCACAGGGAGACCCTGTCTCAAAGAAACAAAAGTAAAAACAAAATCAAACAGGAAAAAACATTTAAATTATTGGCGAAGTAGAAAGGACCAACCACTCAGCCAAGCTTTCTGTTGTCCTAAATCTCCAGCTATGATGCAAAGAAATAAATTCCAACGGAAAAATGACAAAATACAACAACCTGGATGCAAAGAAGTAGAGAAGAGTCAGAGGGTACCAGGTTGGAGAGAGCAGAAATTTCATTTATTTCTCAGGCTATGGAGCTACATGACCCATAGACATTAATATGAGAGACAATCAGGACAGATAATGGGCTGGAAGACAAGAAGTGCCATTTTATTTCTCTTACCTCCATGGTTCTTTATGTTTCATTTACTCACTTGCGCTCTCTCTGTCTCTCTCTCTCTCTGGCTCTCTATATTTTTAACAATTAATAGTAGCTCTAAGATTTTGTAGCTTTAAAATTTAGTGACTACATTAATATGTTTTCCATACTTTTACCCAACTTTCACATAGGTTTTCATATTTAAAATGGGTTTGTTTTAGAAAGCACACTGTTGTTTCTTATTTTTATGTAATTCGACAATTTGTGTCTTGAGGCATTTAGATCATATATATTAATATAATTTTTTTATATACATGCATTAAATTTACCGGCTTTCTACTTGTTTTCCATGTCTCATCTTTTCTTATTCCTACTTTTCCTGTTTTTCTGCCTGATGGTGGATTTAGTATTTTTATGATTCAGTGATATTTTCTCAACTCTTGACTTATTAGTTAGGTCACTTTAAAAAAAATTGTCGTTCCTCCAGGGTTTACAAAGTTCTTATTTAATTCATCACAGTCTGTGTTCAAAGAATATTATACTAGTTTATGTACAGTGAAAACATAGAATGTGTACAATTTACCCATCCTTTGTCATATATATTTTTAAATTTTATTGAAGGTCTACTCCCCACACACATATTTGTTTACACTATGAATTATTACAGACTGATTAATAAAATATTAAATTGTCCTCTGTGTGAACACCCAATATTTGAGACAGGTCTCGAGCAATTTAAAAAGTGAATTTTGCCAAGGGTGAGGACGCACACCCATGACACGGCCTCAGGAGGTCCTGGTGACAGGTGCCCAAGGTGGTCAGAGCACAGCTTGGTTTTATACATTTTGGGAGACGTGAGGCATAGATCAACTTATGTAAGATGAACATTTGTTCAGTCTGGTCCCTGGAAAGCAGGGACAACTTGAAGCAGAAGTGGTACATATGAAAGTGGGGAGGAGGCCTCCAGGTCACAGGTAGGTGACAGAGAAACAATTGCATTCCTTTGAGTTATGATTAACTTTTCAAAAGGAGGTAATCAGATATGCATTTATCTCAGTGAGCAGAGGGATGACTATGAATGGATTGGGAGACCTGTTTGCCCTAAGCAGTTCCCAGCTTGAATTTCACATTAACATAGTGACTTTGGGGGCTCCAGATACTTCCCTTTCACATTCGTATCTTCATCTTTACCATTTTCTGGGTTTTTAATTTGTTTTTGTAGATTCAACTTTCTGCCTGGTATTTTCTCTGCCTGAGAAAATGTGCTAATGTATCTGGTAATGCATTTCTACTGGAGTGAATAATCAAAATATTCTTTGAAAAAAGTATCATGTTATTTTTGTGTTAATTACAGAGATAATTGTAAGCCCATCTGATGAAATATTTATCTCTCAAAAAACTTTGCTTTTTTCTAACATAACCATTTGTTACAGTTCCTGTCTCTGTGCTGAAACTCCTCATTTCCTCATCCGTGATGTCTACTTTCTCCAGTAGTGATAGTGTTTAGATCTGTTTTCCCACCCACACCTCATGTTTGAGTAATAATCCCTAATGTTGGAGGTGGGGCCTGGTGAGAGGTGACTGCATCATGGGGGTGGAATTCTGGTGGAATTAAATAGTGGAAACAAGCCACTACTTAAACTGGAATATTTTAGTACATCTAAGAGAAAGAAGAGAAGACTTAGAAAACAGTTAAAATATCGAAAATGCTATAAAATCAAGTCAAAAATCAACCAAAAAATTGTATGTTAGAATGAAGGATGGCACATAAAATTATGTTTCAATATTATTTACTAGGCTACTCAGTGTTTTTATAAAACACTCATGTTTCATTATTTGAAATCATTTATAAGAGAAAGGTAGAAAATTGTTGACCCCAACCTAAAACCTAAGTATAAATGCAGATAAATGTGTGGAAATACCCACATCTACATTTTATCAAACACTGTATCTACACTATGATATTGCTGGTATGAAGTTGGTATTTGAATACTGTCATTCGAGTTTTCATACCTTTATGTGTTTTCCAAGTTGTTCTGCAATAAATATGAATTATGCTCGTGGTCAGAAAAAGATACCAACAAAAATATGTTTTTCATTGACAGAATTTTGATAGCAGAATAACTTGGAAAAGTGTAAAATTTGTTTTTGACAGTATTTTTCCTCTTCTGAGGTTTTTAGATCTATGTATAGTCAGCCTGTTCATTAGAGTTCTTGCCTTTCCATGTTCCTGACTCCTAACCGTAATAAATGCTAATTTATTATCAATTATGAGGATAAACTGATACATTCACATTAACGATGTGACAAAATTATACTATAGCAAGGAAGGTGCAGAATGAATATGTAACCATTAATCCAGGGTTTTCCTGTGCTAGGACTACAGCAGGGATCAGAACAGACTCAAAACATGCTCATAGAACTGACGTTTTATTGAAAAACACGTAAGTTTTAAAAAGTAACTAGTAAAATTCTCAGTAAACACAGGAGTGCTCAATTATATGTAGTTATTTATGCTGGATATATGTTATGTATTACAATATTAAATTACATAGAGTTTAAGTATTCTGTAGTTTGCCTTTTATGATCTCAAAGGTCTTATTTGAAGACCAATTTTAAGTTTTTGAAAGTCTATTTTATCAACTTTTAATTTTATTTTTGTATTTTAATACATATAATAATTTAATGGTCAAAAATATTTTCTGTAATTTTGTTCATAAAATTTTGTAGTTTGACTTTTGGCCTAAGGTTGTGTTAATTTCTGTATATTATTGGAAATATGGATCAAGGTTCATGCTTTTCATATTGATGTCACATTTTGCACATCTTACTGTTTAAATTCTGTTATGACTTCATTACACTGACGTTAAGGCTTAGTCAAAATGAACTGGGGACAGGCATGAATATTTCTGGTCCTTCTACTGTGTTCATTCATCCTTTCTTCAGAACCACAGTGCATTGGCTAATCTAGTTACACAGTAAACTTAGGAAATACAATTGTGAATTTTCCAACTTTGTGATGCTCTCTCAGATGGTTTTGCATATTCTAGTTTATTTGCATTTATATCACCTTTAGAATCATCACGCTAATATACACAATTATTATCTAAGACATTGGTTGGAATTGCACTAAATCTGTAGATAATAGACGTCTTTAAATCTATAGATTTGAATCCTTCAATTCATAAATGTGATACTCCTCTCCACTTAATAATTACTCGATTTCAGTAGTGTATTTACACTTTTAGTATACAGGTATTTTGGTTTTCTATTGATACCGTAACAAATTGCCACCAATTTAGTTATTTACAACAACCCAAATTTATTGTATTAGAGTCTAAATGTCAGACATCTAAAATCGATTGATCTTGCCTGAAATGAAGGCATTGGCAGGGCTTTGTTCCTCCTGTTGGCTGTAGGGGAGAATCTACTTGATTGTGTTTTTTAGATTCTAGTTCCTTTCTCCATTCATGGCTCATGGCCTTTACCTCCACCTCTAGTCAACACTATAGCATTTGCCAATGTTTCTCTTAGTCTAACCACCTTCCTCCAACTTATAATAGCCCTTGCGAATATGGTGGGTGCACTTATACAAAGTAGGATAATCCCAATCTAAAAATCTTTAATTTAATAATATCTGCCAATATTTTCCCCAATGTAAAACGTGATATTTTTGAGTTCATGGTTTACTCTGTAAACATCTTTTGGAGGGGGTTTATTATTCTGCCTACCACAGAGATCTGGTAATTTTTCTGTAGAGTTACACTTAAATAGTTTATGTTTATATTATTTTATGTTTCAATTAGCTGATTTAATTATTGCATAATGTATACATATATCAAAACCTCATGTTGTACACTATAAAAATATACAATTGTTATATCAGGTAAACCTTTAGAAATAGGAAGAAAATTGGATGAGTAATACAAAAAAGTCTTTCAAAGAAAAACCATAAGTACCAGTGAATACACTATTACTTTAGAGAAATCATAAACTAGCTGTATCAACAAATTCTTACTTTTCTTTGATTTTAGGCTATCACTTCAAGTTATGTAAGTAAACATGTATTCACTGTAATACATTTTTAGAAATTATATACTAAAAAGTTATCACTTAGAAAAATTCTGTGTATATATACAGTATTCCCAACTGCCAGAATTTTTTTACTGTTTAAAATGCAGCCCCACACCCCAAAAAGCAAATATTGTATGTATTCTGTTACTATAGTTGTTTTCACTATGGAAAAGAGATTTCAACAGATTTTTTATGTTAAAATACTAATCGTCTTATACTTATTCATACGTTCTGAATCTAAAAAAAACATAAAGTAAAATCCTGCCTGTAATTATATAGAAATTGTTTTTTATAGTTTTTTACTTTTGGAGTATTTGTTGTAGCCTCTAATTCAGTTGCAATCAAAATTGTAGTAATCACTTACTGTTTATAACATTTTTGACACATTTCCATAGTATAAGTACCTTATTTATTACTTACTTCCCAAACATGTATACTAGTTTCATGCTGCAGAGGGTCTCACCCAGTCTGGCCCTTGTCTTTCTCTTGCGCATGCCGTCTCTCTCTCTCTCTCTCTCTCTTTCTCTCCTTCTCTCTCTCTCTCTGTCTCTGTCTCTCTCTTTCTCTCCCCCCTCTCTCTCTCTGTGGATGTGTGTGCATGTGTGCATTTCCCTCTCTCTCTCCCCATGAGGTTAACAGTTAAGAAGTGTCACCATAAGCAAATGGGGAGAGAAGCCTAGGAGCTATCTCTTGAATATCAATTCTATCATACCCTTCCAATATATTCTTTAAAAATGAGAACGAAAAGATAATTAAAGAGGGAAATATTCTTGGGTGGACTATGCTTAGCCCTTCATGAATTGGTGGCATAAAGCTTAGATACGTATTTTAAAGGTTACCCAGAATATCATTTAGTATTTGAGAGAAAACGAACACTGTGGGATCAGCAATGAAGGGATCTAAGAAGGAGAGTCTCTCAAGAGCTCTAAAGGAGGAGCCTTGCAAATGATGACTAGTTGATAAGTGAGAAAAATTTAGAGAATTTGGGAATCTGGAGTAAAACCTCTCAGCTGACAAAAATGGCTGTGGCCTCTATACAGTGTCTTTCTGATTTAAGCCAAGCCTCATTTGCCAAAAAGAGATAATTCTTGAAGAACCTGAGTGGATCTGTTTTCTCAGGAGTCCACTGTTCCTATGTATAGTCTCCTAGAAGGCATAAAAAGTTCCTTGAAGTAGCCCCGCACTGAAGAGAGGGTGCACAGGACCCAAAACAGGCATCGCTATGCTTGTAGCTACATCCCCATCCCCAGGGACACCACCTGCGCAGTACATGCTGTACATTACTCTTCTCAAAAAGGTGGCATTCACATTTTAGTCCACATGAATGACACCACCTTGTGAAGGGCACTGCACGCTGGATGGCTGAATGTGGCATCCCAGACCAAATGGTCCCCATTTATGCAGCTTTTATTCAAGTCCATATAGGTGTATGCCTTCTCATGGCCACCAAGACTTATGCCAAGAAACTTTGCAGCTTCTAGACCCAGCACTCACCTTTACATCCTGCCCTCAGTGAGATATTAACATGCAGATTTTGGTTTTATTTTGTTATAATCCTGGCCACTCAGGAGGCTGATGCAGGAGACTCCCTTCAATCTAGGAGGCTGATGTTTCCAGGAGCGTAGATTGTGCCACTGTTTTCCTGCCTGAATTTATAACTGAGACTCTGTCTCAAAGAAAAAAACTGAAAATAAATTTAAACAGAAAAAAAAATTTAATTATTGGTTAAGTACAAAGGACCATCCACTCAGCCAAGCTTTCTGTTGTCATAAATCTCCAGCTATTATGCACAGACCTAAATTCCAATGGAAAATCACACAATACAACAACCTGGATGCGAAGAGGTGGAGAAGAGTCAGAGGGTACCAGGGTGGAGAGAGCAGAAATTTCATTTATCTCTCAGGCTATGGAGTTACAAGAACCTGTAGAAATTAATATGAGAGAAAATCAGGACAGATAATGGGCTGGAAGACAAGCAATGCTATTTTATTTCTCTTACCTCCATGGTTCCTTATACTTCATTTATTTGGTTGGCCTCTCTCTCTGTCTCTGTCTCTGTCTCTCTGTTTGTGTGTGTTATTAACAAATAATAATAGCTCTAAGATTTTGTAGCTGTAAGATTTAGTAATTGCATCAATATATTTTCCATCCTTTAACTTTTACCCAACTTTCACAAAGATTTTCATTTTTAAAATGGGATTGTTTTACAAAATATAATTTTGTTTGGTATTCTTATGTAATTTGACAATTTCTGTCTTAACTGAAGCATTTAGATCATGTATATTAAACTAATTTTATATACATTCATTTAAGTCAACTGGCTTTCTAGTTGTTTTCCATGTTTCATCCTTATTCCTAATTTTCCTGTTTTCCTGCCTGATGGTGGATTTAGTATTATTATCATTCATTTATATTTTCTCTACTCTTGGCTTATTAGTTAAGTCACTTTAAAAAAAATAGTGATTGCTCCAGGGTTAACAAAGTTCATATTTAATTCATCACACTCTGTCCTCAAAGAATATTATAGTACTTTATGTACAGTTAAAACATCTTATTATATGCTTACATTTCACCCCATTCTTTATCATATGGTTATTACTTTTATTAAAGTTGTAATCCCCAAACACATCTTTGTTTACACTATGAATTATTAGTGACTGATCAATAAAATAATAAAATATCCTCTGTGTGGACCCCAAAATTGGATACAGGTCTCAGGCAATTTAGAAAGTTATTTTTCCAAGGGTGAGGATGCACACCCATGACATGGCCCCAGAAGGTACTGGTGACATGTGCCCAAGGTGGTCTGAGTACAACTTGGTTTATCACATTTTGGGTGACACCAGACATGGAGCAACATATGTAAGATGAACATTTCTTCAATCTGTTCTAAAAAGGAGGGTCAACTTGAAGCAAAAGTGGAACATCTCACATTAGATTGGAGGTTTTCCAGTCACAGGTTGGTGACAGACAAACAATTGTATTATTTTGACTTACTGATTAATACTTCTAAAGGAGCCAATCAGATAAGCATTTATTTCAGTGAGCAGAGGAATGACAGTGAATAGATTGGGAAACTGGTTTAACCTAAGCAGTTCCCAGCTTGAATTTTCCCTTAACTTAGTGATTTAGGGGCCTAGATATATCCCTTTCACATCCATATCTATATCTTTACAATTTTCTGGGTTTGTAATTTTTTTGTGTAGATTGACGTTTCTGCCTGAGAAAATGTGTTAACATGTCTGGTAATGCATTTCTACTGGGGTGAATAATTGAAACGTTATTTGTCTGAAAAAATTATGTCATTTTGTGTTTATTAGAGTGATAATTTTAAGCCCACTGAAAGAAATATTTCTCTCTCACAATAGTTTTCTATTTTCTAACATAACTATTTGTTACAGTTTCTATCTCAGTGCTGAAATTCCTTATTTACTCATCCTTGATGTCTACTTTGTCAAATAGTGATATTGTTTCGATCTGTATTCCCACCCACATCTCATGATTAAATGTAA